TTCCTCATAAAAATGCTATTTTTACATATGACCACTAATATAAACTAATTTAACCTTTATTATTCATACACACAAATTATAAATCTTCAATTTAAGCTAATAAAAAGAGGGTGTGCTGAGAGAAAATTGTTATCCTAGTGTATGCACTATACTTTTGTCGCAGCCAAAAGGCCGAGAAAGCCAATGTTTGTTGGTAATTCAATGCAGTTTTCGAATATGTATAAGCCATATTTTTATACAACTTCTGGTTCAAAATCTCATTTTCTAGTATATCACATAACTTCCTCTATGAGGAAGCAAAAGTATAACTTTTTATTTTGAGTCTGTAACTTTCATAATATTCATCAAAACTCTAGGTTTTGGTCTTGAATTAAAATTTGACTCCTCTGTTTTCATGACCACGAAAAATGTCTGAAAATGACCTCATTTTTTCAACCGCGGATGAACAACTTACCAACGCTTGACCAAAAACGTTTTGGCTTATACAATTATCTTCACTATACCACTTGCAGATATTTACAGAGGGAGGTATTCGCCATCTAGTGGCCAAAGCTCGCGGCGATGATTGAATTTTGATAGATTCTTTGTACCATCAAAGCGAAAACTAAATCAGTATTGAAACATTGGCTAATGTCTGATTTTACATCGAGTCTGCATCAAAGCAAAGGTTTTTTTTGTAACAGTGTATATTTTCAGCTGCTACCAATAGACAATCGGCATATTTTATCGCTTTGAACTTCCAGTCGCAACTCATGGATATTTTGTATTGTTTCTAAACTCGACCCAAAATAATTCGTATCTTCCGACAACTGCACCTATGGTAAAAAAAAAATATAAATTTACGTATTTCAAGCTGTCGTCTCACTACAAAGTGCACCCATATCATCAAATACACGATATATATTTACGGTGTTTAATAACTCATAGACGCATAACCACGTCTTACGGGGATCTTGCGGGTGTATATCTGTGTGTGTGCGCGCTGGAAGGGGGCGGAGCCGCTGCCTCGTGCCGCTATCGTTTTACGCGCTCGGCGATGAGAGATCTTGATCTTGAAACGAGCTCGAGCTTGCCAAGTGCTCGGGCTACGGCTCCCCTCCTCTCTCTCTCTCTCTCTCTATCTCTCTCTCTTCTTTCTTCCTCTGTTCTTATATATACTTGAGTGGGAGGAGAGATCGGCCGAAAAGTATGTGTGTGTACGTATCAAAAGGTGTGCGTGGATGTATGCGTGGGCCAAAACGGAGCTCTCGACTAACAGCAGCAGCATCAGCTCAGGTAATTTCGTTGATATCTTCTTCTCTTGCACAAAAGGGGAGACCGTAGACGCGCGTGTAAGACTACTCGGGAGGAACCCAAGGAGAGAACGAAGACTATGGAGGTGCAATATTAAGCGAGTACTATACTATATAGCTAAAGGGAGGCTGTGTGTGTGTGGTGGTACTCCATTAGTATGCTCGGAAGTGCCTCGGTCTCTCTCTCTCTCTCCCTGCCTCTGCGAGCTCCGATTGTAGCCTGCGTGTGCCATTGTGCGCCTCGCACACGGGTATATTATAAGGCGAAGAATGTCGCCTCGTTGCAACTATCCGCCGCAGCGAGATAAGGTTTTTTTTTTTGTTACTTACTCTCTCTCTTCTTCTTATTCTTCGTCTGCTTCGTCTTCATCTTCTTCTTCTTACCAAGAGTAAGGGGGAGAGAAAGACGATTATTACGTCGCATAGGCAGAAAATGTATAATACGCGTATAATATACGATCGATTGTTTCAGCCGCGAAAATACGCGCCATTTTTTCGCGGGTTAAATAAAAACAACAACAACAACAGCGAGTCGAGTCGAGATTTAACGTGGGCCACTATAAAAAGCTCGGCACGCTCGAAAATGTAGTCGAGTTGAAAAAAAAAAGGCTACTGTCTAACGATAGGGGCTGTGCGACTGTGCGAGCGCGCGCGCGTACGTACGACGTGCTATCTCCAACCGGGTGCTCGAGAGAGAGAGAAAGCGCGTAGAGTCGCTATACCGAGATTGCCTTTATGCGACGACGACGACGACTACGACGACGAAAGGAAGAAAAGGCTCTTTCTCTCTCTCACTTTTGCGGGGCGATAATGTCGCCGAGGCTCCGCAGAGCTCTATATATATACGCACGACCATCAGCATAGTATAGTATAAGCAAGATATCACACCGCGTAGAAAATAAAGGGCACGAGAGGCACGTCTAATTTCTCGCTTTTGTGCGCCCGCTTACTTGGGGGGATGGCGGTGCTGGTGCTGCACACACGAAAAACCAAGTAGTAGTAGTAGAAGAAGAAGAAGCGAAAAAATAATGATTGATATCGTTCGCGCACTCGATAACTACGTACATACACGTATAATACTCTAGAAACTCTCGAACACGACGCGCGTGCATTATATAGCGGTAATACAGGCGCGCGCTTGGGTAATCAACCGTAATAATGTACCGAGAGATGATCGCATAATTAGCGAAGTTGCGCGGCGCTCTTCGGTAATTATGGCGCAGTGCACCCTGGCACATTTACATGACGCACACACACACACTGACACTTGACGTTATATAACGTAATAATAACTGCCGCGCGCGTGTGTGTGAGTATATACCTCGAAATCTGAATTTCATCTCCGCGAGACTAGTTGAGCCGCATGAATTAGATTGGATGATCGCTGCTATGCCACTTATCTGCTACTGCCGCTGATGCTGTATATAATAATAATGCGTGAAGGGAGATAATTAATTCGTACATCAACTGAGTCGAGTCATGTTTGTATATTGAACCGGCGCCTCTTCCAGTGCTTTTATTTTTCAATTATTTTTTCCATCGTAATATGTATAAGTTTTTATTTACAATCGATATAGTTTGTATAATATATTTATAAGATGCGTATTATGCAGGAGACTTTTTACAAGATAGTTGTGGTTGATGATCGTCGTGGTAGGATTTATTTCTTAATTTTTTCTTTTGTCCGTAAGTCCATTCTACACATGATTATTGATATAAATGTTTGACTTTTTTTTTGGTAGTAAACCTGGTAGAAATGCTCAAGATTGTATGGCTAGCTTGTAGATTTACGAAAACGTTTTGTGGATTGTAAAAAAAAGTTGGGACCTATACATGAATATTATACCGAGTGTTATTGATTTTATACAATTATTTTTACTTTACCACTTTCGGATTTGCAGATAAAGGTGCCTCGCCATCTAGCGGCGAATGCTTAAAGTTTAAGTAATCGTATTCAAAGCAATTGAAAACTAGCCTAAATTTTTCGAAACCTTCAAATGTCACTTTTAGGTCATTAAAAATGCCCTTAATCGCAGGAGAAAGATCGCCAAAAAACAATCCAATCGTTGATAACGTATTTTTTAATGTTGATCATTTCTACCAGGCAATGAAATTATCTTTTTGTTCATAAATTTCATTCACATTTCTTACGCAAAAACTCCACTACGATCCGTTCAATCATAAAAAAACAACGGACACATCGCATCGAATCCGAGTCGCGGTTCATAAAGGAAGAATGAGAAAAAAAATCAACGAAACGATTTCTCCAGTCGACTTTACTTACAGCCTTACGATCTACAAATATGATTTTTTTTCTCAATATTCAGTAACATTTTTATCATCTATTTATTTTATACAATTCATATCATTACGTCGATCACAGAATTTCAACTATATAACTATATTACACGTCGTCGTCGTCGTCGGGGGAAACTCATTCGTTCGATTTTGCCGTTCTCTCTCTCTCTCTCTTTCTTCCTCTCGTTCTTAATACCGAATTTAACCGTACATACGTATCTTCGTGTATTTACGTAATGTGTGTTTGTATCTCGTATACAATATTCTCTTTCCGAAAGCTTAAGTTCGCATGGTCGCTCGGCCAAAGAGACACACACACATGTATCAAGAGAGAGAGAGAGAGGAGCTTTTTTGCGCTACTTAATAGGGGAAATAAGTCTCGCCTCGTGTTTTTTCCATGCTTACACGACGTGTATTCGTACTTTATACAAAAACACACACTCGCACACTCACATGTGTATTTGGTTATTTTCACATACACACACACACATGGGTCGCGGGCTTTGGCAAAAGGATTTGCGTATCGATTTCCAACGAGTGCATAGAGGCGCGCGCGTATACGTATTTTATTTTTCAATAGCGCGCGCGCACACACGACACAACGATGACGAATAAAAGAAGAAAAAAAAAGAGAAAAACGAAGACGAAGAAGAAAAAGAAGAGTTTCTCTCTTCTTCTATCATTTTTTTTTCGCGTACATGTGTGTATATACGGATGGAAATTCCGCGAGAAAGGGAGGAAGGGCAAAATGCAATTTTTTCCCCATCTCTCTCTCTCTCTTTTTCTCGTCGATACATGCGCGTCGTTTTTTTTTCTTCTTGCTCCTCCTTTTTTTTTATTATTATCGTGTATCGCGTTTGAGAACCGAGCAACTCATTTTCCTGCTTAATGACCAAAAAATTGCCGGGGTTGCCTCGCGCACGGGATTTTTATACACACACACACACAAAATATCGCGCATCTATGTATAAAAGATTAAAGTTGTTTTTTCTCGGTCTTCCTATTTTTCCGTAAACACGATATATCGGGCGGTAATATAATGTATATGTGCTGTATACGCGGTCCTCGTATTCGATTTAAAATTTCGCGTTTATGCAATTTCTGTAATGGCGCACATGGATGCACTTTGACCATTTTCTCCAACCCCCCCCCGAAAAAAAAGGAAAGAAAGAAATCTCTATTAATTATTTTTCGCGCGCGTACGCGGGGGATATTACGTTTTTATTTATATAATATATATACGATATTGCACCGGAGCGATAGGAGGAAGTACTTTTTTTTTTTTAATTTACATAACTAGAGCAACTAACGATAATAAATATTACATTCCTCGGAGCTTTTACAAACATGCCGTATAATGGTAGTATGTACAGGGATAAAAATATCGTTTAACAGACCCAATCCTCCTCACTACTGTACGCCAGCGATGGACTCGGACCTCCTGGCGTCGTCGAAGATGAGCCTCGCGGCGTTGCTCGTTACAACGGCCGCAGCTTCTGCTGGTGTCGTCGTCGTCGTCGACGGCGGCGGTGGCGGCGAGGACGGCGAGTCACGATCACCACCGCCTCCGCCGTTACCCGCGGTCGTGCACAGGTTCTGGGCCTGCAGCTGCGCCGGACTGGTCAATTGTCGCCACCAGTCGGCGCTGCTCCAGCCACTAGTCTGCTGCTGCTGCTGTTGATGGTTCCCCCGATGTTGATGATGATGATAATTGAGATCCGGGAGAACCGGAAGCGGCCTTCATATGACGTGGCAGCGCGGCGAGCTCGTCGCCAGGCTCTGCACGGAGAAGTTGGACGACTTGCTGCTCGGAGCTGGCTTGGATGCTGGTGGTGGTGTTGGCTTTCTCGGGGGTGGCGGCGGCGAGGCGACCCTCTCGACGACGATGGGCGAGGCCGAGCTGGCCGAGGCACCGCTCGAGTAGCCGCAGCGATCCTGAGACTTGTCGTCGTGCATCATCGCCGCCTGTTGTTGTTGTTGTTGCCGCGTCGCCGACTCGTTGTACAGCAGCGAGTTGTCGTTGTCGTCGGCTCTGGCGGGGCTCGGGCCCGTGGTCGACGAGGACGACGACAGGGCACGCTTGTCTTTGTTGCTGGGCGCCGGTGGTGGACTCGGACAGCCGCAGTTCATCTGCAGACAAGTCGGCGTCGCGGTCAGTCCAGGCCAGCCGCTGAGACTCGAGGCCATCTGTTGCTGCTGCTGTTGCTGCTGATGGTGCAGGGCAGCCGAGTAAAAGCTGCCCGCCGCCCCTGGATGGCTGCCGTAGAGCGCCTGGAAGGCCAGATCCGCGGCGAGTTTGCTGCTGCTGCTGCTGCCACTGCTTAGATCCGTCCCAGCCTCGCCCATCTTGTGCTGGATCTGATAGAGCGGATACGGGAAGGGCGGAAAGAAACGAGGTATCTTGAGGTCGTCCTGATGATGATGATGGCCGTTGTTACTACCGTTGCTGGTGGTAGTGCCGCCGCTGGACGAGTGAAGATTGAGGCTCGACGGAGCTGGATGATGATGGCCCACGAGGGGCGGGAGCAGACCCCGCGACAGGTGGCTCAGCGGATGATGGTGATGATGATGGTGATGATGGGGGTGATGAGGATGCTCCGTGGGCAGGCCCATGGAGGAGGCAGCCGCAGCTGCGGCGGCGGCCGAGGCCAGCGCGAAGCCGAACTTGTTCTCCTTCTTGATGACGGACTTGGGCTTGCGACGCGGTCGGTACTTGTAGTCCGGGTGCTCCTTCATGTGTAGCGCTCTGTCACGGGGCAGATAAAAAATGATGATCATGATAACGGTGAATAGTTGGCATTGTTGGAGTGTGAATAAAAGCTTATTACATAATTATATTTGCTTTAGGTGTGAACTACTGTCAATAAAGATCGGCTGATCGATCTTTCATTGTCGTTTCTTTGTTTTTTAGGTATAAAGATTTGTAAACAGTAGAATCAAGTTTAGTTTTACGTTTAAGTCGTGTAATGAAAAAAGGCTTTGTTTCACAGAAAAAAACTTTTGAGTTTGATCATAGCCAACCCCAAATAATATTGTGTATACATTTTGCAACAAAACGCGCCTATGCGTTTCTCTCTTTCTCTCGAAATCTCGCGTACAAGGCAAACATCGAGCTGTATGGAGCGATAAGATGCGCGTGTTTCTTGCCGCGCAGTCCAGGTGTGCGACGCGCGTAGCAAACTCGCGCGATTGTATACGGACACGCGTTGTGTTATTATATTGGGTGCGAGGTAAATTTATCTTTTCTTCTTCTTCTTCTTCTTTTTTCAAGTGTCCACAAGAGAAAAGAAATACTTTGAGAGGCGAGCAGGTCACACAAATGTACGACGCTGTTCGCAATTTGTTTCGAGTGAAATTTCATGCGATTGACATTATAATATTTCGTTTTTGAAATGTAAGACTCGCTTAATCGTAAAGAAAAGTGACTCAAGGCAAAAGTTGTGCTCTTACTTGTACTATAATTTTAACTTTGCCACTTGCGGATGTACAGATTTAAAAGTACTAGGCAGTTGGCATCTAGATCTAGATTAAATTAATTGGCAATGAGCTTGCTTTGACTTATATGATTATTTTGACTTTGCCACTTGCAGATTTTGGCAGATTAAAGTATACTCGCCATCTGGTGGTGGATCCCGGCACTATCGACTTTTTATACATTTTTAAAGCAATCAACGAAAAAAATTAATTTATATTCAAACATTAATTTTTTATAAAAATGCTTAAATTTCAGTGTAGGATTCAATCCTTTTGGCCCTTTTTTGCATTGAAAATAATGTGTACCTAATATGCAGTTCATGTAACACAATAAATCTGCACACGAACATTGTTAATAACCGATGTCAAATTAATGCATCTACTTTCAATTTAAGGTATTTTTTTTTGCTTCATCCACAACGCAGCGCACAAGTTGGTATTGTCATCCAGCGAGCGTCGTCGATCAATCTCGACCCTTTTGTACACACACACCCGCGGTAATACACCGTAAATGCGTATATAGCAGCGGTAAAATTACGCCCCGAGAGACCCGAACAATCATCGAGAGAGCGCGCGCAAAGGCGTGTACACCGGCCACGAACAAGTGCGCCGCGGCACCGTCGAAACTTTACCCCCTTGGTAGTTTCTTGACCCCGTAGTGATCGTCATCCCCCTCCTACCCCCCAACCGCACGTGCATCTCGCGCGCGCGTAACGCATCAAAGCCTCGAGAATAATTCGAGCGACGTTATTTTTTTTTCGAGAAAGGTGCGAATGTTATGCCACACAAAAGTTTCTGTTGTCGCGGGCGAAAAGGATCCTCTATGTATATACGTACAAACTCTCGCGCCTTTTTTTTACCCTCGCGCGCGCGAGCGCGAGTTCTTTTTATCTCGCTCGGCACGCATATTTGTGTATGCCGCGCGAGGCGAGAAAAATAAAAAAGCCGGATAAAGTCAAGAAAGAAGAGAGAGAGAGAAGAAAAGAGGTGCAAGAGAATGTCTATATACTAGAGTACTTAAGTATCATATACACACACACACACTGGTGTATGCATAAATACGTGCTGCGCGAGCGAGCGACGAGAGTCGAGCATAATGGAGCATTATGCGCCCGCGAGAGAGAGAGAGATATCGCGTTGTTGTTGTGTGCGCGAAGTAAAAGACAGGGATAGAGATAGGGGTATTTATGACAAACAGGGTTTCTTCCTTTTTTTCTGTATCGTAGCGCACGTGCGATAACAAAGCAGTGTATTATGATACAAGCAGAGAAGTATGGAGAGAAAAAAAAGAAGTAGAATAAAGCGAACGCGAACGCGATTATCCTCTACTCTACGTGAAACAGAAATGCAAGCAAATACACACACTCGAACACGAAAAAAAAAATAGGAAAAGAAAGCTAGCTATATACAGGCGGGTATATACATAGAGCTCGAATATGAATATGTGCGTGCATATATACCGAGAGTTATTGTCGCGGCGCGGCCTGCACAAGCTTTTCGCTGCATACACGCGCGCATGTACGCACATATATCGCGCACCCGCGAGCTTTTACCCAATGTTTATACTGATTTACCGCGCTTTTGTGCTATCTGCCGCGGGACACACATTGTCTGTGCCGCCGCTGCTGCGAGCTAGTAGCAGTAGTAGTAGTACACGCGAATACGGGGGGGGGGGGTAGGTACGTGGCAATTATTATTCCGCGCACCCGCAACTATGTCTCTCTCTCTCTCTTGGGCGAGGGTATGTGCATTATTATTTGGAGTCTCTCGTAGTTTTGCGTGTCGCGTACGCTACTCTCTCCCACCCCGCTGAGATTTTATGTACAGTATGTGTGTGTATGTGTGTTTTGTTTTGCGGCTCTTTTATCGTGTGGGCGGGTTCGCGATGACACAATTCGCGCAATGTACCGCCGCTGTTCTTTTTCTCGCTTAATTTCGTTACAATCGCGACTGTGCGTCGTTTTCGAGGTTAAAGGTGGGAAGCGGCTGATGATTTTTGAGTAAGACTCTCTCGAAGACAAGTATAGATCGAGTACTGTTTGCTGTCGAAAGGTTTGACTTTATACGATTATTTTTACTTTGCCACTTGCAGATTTTTACGGACGAGGCTGCTCGCCATCTAGCGGTAGAGGTTGGTTCTAATGACGATTGAATTTTACGTAAATCAACGCATTGACGCAGCGTTGAAATGTTTATTTTCAATAAAGGAAGGCGAAGAATTGATTTTGTTGTTCATTTATTGTCTTGAAAATATTATATACGGTTAAATTTTCATTCATCTTTTGCAGTTAACGTGCGAAAACACAATATAGTTCATTTCTGATTCGATAATTTTCAAATTATCACTCAAAAGTACTCTCAATAGAATTCAACGCGTTCGATTTTACACTAAATCTGCTCTTAACTTTAGCGACTCATTTTCAAAAATGCAAGTGACTTAATATTGCGAATAATCATCTCGAAAAATCTCTGTAAAATATGTCAGACCTATTTTGGAAGTTATCCTATACACATATACCTACGCACAAGTGGACTGTTATTCGCATACTCATAATAATATACGGCAATACATAAGCCGCGTCGAATACACACGTAATCAACGCGACTCGCGCAGTCACATATTCATATACGCGCATTGTGTTTTATACCTTTATATAAAAGAAAAAGACCAGAGTTGACAAAAAAAAAAAGACCGGCCCTGAAACATATATACCCCGAGCGCGCATACACCCATACACATAGTAGTAGCACAGAGCGAGCGAGAATCGGCTGCATTGTAAGCCAATAAGAGAGTCTATTGTGGCGCGGTGATAACAAAAAAGAAAAGAGAGAGAGAGAGAAGAGGGAATCAAACGCGGCGCTTACCATTCTCAAAAGCTGATCACGTACTACACACACACACACACACACACACACACACACTCGTGTGCTCGCAGGGCGTGACTCTACACGGGCGCGCGAAGGGTTGAATATAATATAATATATAATAGAGTTTAAAGTCCGTCGCGCGCGCGCGCGCCCCCGCTTCGGCCCTATATTATGTATAAATGATCGGTGAGTTTAAATTCTTGACGATTGCTCGTCCCTCCATACGCAGTACATGATTTCAATATTTTTTTTTCTTCTCGTTTGTTTTTGTATTTCGAAAGATAATGTATCATAAAATATGACACGGAGCTCTTGCGTGTATGTATGTGCGTGTCTATATATCTGTATATATAATACGTGTGCCGCTCGTTGCCCAAGAGGGTGCCGGCTGCAGCCTAGTGCGCCGAGCGTCGCGCGCCCTGGCCAAATCCTTTTAAATCCACACAATTGCGACAATAGGGCTTTATTTGTTATCTCGAGGGCCACATTGTGCAACCCGCGCCGTGAAAACGGCAGTAGAACAGATTAGGTCTCGACGACGACGAGAGGCCCTTACTAATTTTTTTTCTCCCCCCTCCCTTACCCTCGCTTTATTCTTATCAATTTTCTTCTTATTCTTCTTCTTTCTCGTCGCCGCCGATGACTTTGAGTCTATGTGTATTATGTATAGAGCCGTAAAGATGGTGGAGTACACGCGTGTATAATTACCCGCGCCGCTTAAACCGCAGCGATCCGACGATCGGGCGCTTCGATAAATGATACGTATATACGTATGAATCGAAAACGACCAACGGCGACGCGAAGGAGAAGAAGAAAAAAATTCGCGTCGTGTGAATCACCATATACATGATTATGAGGGTAAATAACAAATAAGTCAAATGTAAGAATTATCAAAGCAAATACGGCAGCAGCAGCAAGCGACACGATAATATAATGCCTCTCGCGCGCGCATATACACGTTCGATAAAAAAAAATAAAAAGTTCCGAGTGAATGAGAGGAGAAGAAAAAAAATTGATTTCGATTTTTTCGACGCTGAATGTCCGGCATTGTACGTATCGTATACCAGGTAGCTTATCGCCTCTTTGTTATTGACGAATATGAACGTAGGAGAAGAAAAAAAAATCACGAATTCGCGCGAGGTACACGAGCGTGAATCAATGTTGACCGATTCGCGCGATATCGCCTTACTTCTTCTTCTTCTTTTTTTATTATTATTCAACTCACTTTTTTCTAAAAGTCATGCTCCGAAATATATATCTTCTCTTTGCCTATCCGAATTATTATTATATTTATATACATCGGCGCTGCGCGATAACGAGCACAGAAATTCAATTTTCCTTCTTTTCAACCCCTTGCGCGATTGTGTATTATTATATCATATATTTTATATATATATGAAACATTATGTGCCTTTTTTATCGATACCGGCAGCGACTGTCACTTTTTTGCGCCGACTGCGACTCGCCTCATTGTTTTTTGCCCTCGACTCTCGAATTATAGATATATGTTTTCTTTGATGGCGAGAGAGGAAAAAAAAAGAGAGAACGAGAGAAGGAGGAGGAGGAGGAACGTAGGAGGCAGCCTAGGAGTCGCGCGTGAAAAATGGCACGTCTTTTCAATTTCCGGACGCTCGAGATTTCCTTTTGGCATTTATATTATCGCGCGGGCGGTCGCGTACGGGGTAAGACGAAGAAAAAAAAGAGGAGGAGAGGAGAGAGGTGGAAAAAAGGAATAGAGAAAAGAGAAAAATGTTGTGCATCGGCATCCACTTACATAAATCTGGCTTCGTTGGGAAAATTCAACGATTCGCGTTTACATGAAAAATGTCTCGATTTGTTTCGATCTCATGCCTATATCGACACTTATTAGCTCGGTATAATCTCGAGCCTACTATAAATCGGATCTCACTGCATTAAAAGCTTATTAAATTCATACAGAGCGAGTACATAGCAGCTATCCCAAGTGGGATCGGCTAAATAAACTCATCAAAGGCTCTCTCCGTACATCCCGCGCGATTATTAAATATGTTATATATTCATCGCGTGGATAGATATAATATATAGATGCTGCAGCCACGGGGCAATAAAGCCAGAATACATAGCGCACGAGAATCGCCCTCGAGATAATAAATAGCCCTGTGTAGTAGTAGTAGTAAGTACGGCCACGCGCGGGGGGCTCCCTCGAATTTATACAAACGTGCATATTATGACGCGCAGCAAGGCTTAAAGATACGTATTCAAGGGTATATAAGCTGGATTTGTAAATGGGTTTTTTTCTTCTTCTTCTTCTCTTTCTCTGTCGGCCGTGAGCGCTACGCGGGAAAAATCACATGCGTGTATATAGAAGAGAATCGTATGCGCGCGTAAATTTTGAATTTTCACGTACTACGTACAATAATCGCGCCTATATATGGTGAAAAGAGAGATAAAGAAGAAAAACCAAAGGATATATCGCCGTTGCTTACGAGTAAAAACACACATCATCGAAGCGCCGTGAAAAAAAACACACCTCTTTGGATACCATGAAAAAAAACACACCTCTTTGGAACGCTGCGAAAAAAAACACACCTCATCGGAGCGCTGCGAAAAAAAACACACCTCTTCGGAGCGCTGCGAAAAAAAACACACCTCATAGAATGCCATGAAAAAAAACACAGCACATTGGATGCCGCGAAAAAAAACACAGCTCATTGGATGCCGCGAAAAAAAACACAGCTCACTGGATGCCGCGAAAAAAAAACACACCGAATCGAATTTTGTTGCGTTTTTATTCTGCTGTGTTTTTTTTCGTGGCGTCCAATGAGGTGTGTTTTTTTTCGCGGCATCCAATGAGATGTGTTTTTTTTCACGGTATCCAATGTGCTGTGTTTTTTTTTCATGGCATTCAATGAGGTGTGTTTTTTTTCGTGGCGCTCCGATGAGGTGTGTTTTTTTTCACAGCATTCAATGAGCTGTGTTTTTTTTCGGGGCATTTTATCAGTATGTTTTTTTTCGTAGCGTTTTTCACTGTGTTTTTACTCGTAAGCAACGGCGATATATCGTTTATTATATTCATACGTGCGTGCGACCCTCGACATCTATCGTCGTATTTTTATTTTATTTTGATGCATCGACCCTTCAAAGTTCATCTCTCTCTCGAGTGTCATCGTCTAGAAAAGCTCCATCCCCCTTTTACACGCGGCCTTGTAAAACGCAATTAGTATCTTCCCCCCAGCTGGCCGTCGATTTGGAAAATTTCTACCCCCTGCCTCGTTGCAACTAGTACTACACGCGATGATTGCGCTCGCTTGTTTTTCGATCAAGTTCTCACTCTCACTCTATCTCTGTCACTTACCTGAGTCTCTTTGCCTCGTCGATGAAGGGCCGCTTCTCGCCCTCGCTCAGCAGCTTCCACTCGGCGCCGAGCCGCTTCGAGATCTCCGAGTTATGCATCTTGGGATTCTCCTGGGCCATCTTGCGACGCTGGCCCCGCGACCAGACCATGAACGCGTTCATGGGCCGCTTGATGTGCTCGTTCACGTGCAGAGCTTTCGCGGACGACATCGCGTTTATTCTATTTATTTGTTTATTTATGTGGTAGATTGCACTTGCTCGACGTTCGTTTAGAAAAAGTATAGATAAATAAAAAAAGGTTTCACTCGAGAATCTCGCACAGTTTCATCATTCGCAAATATCAAAAAAAATCTTTTATATCGTCCTTCTTTTCTCTTATATCGTTACAAAAAAAAAACAACAACAACAACAAGGAGCTTTTTATGCAGTCAACAATTGATACACGCACAGCGAGCCAGCAACAAGCAACAAGGACTAGTGGCGAAAGAAAGACGAATCTCTGCGCGGCTGGATCGCTCGGTCCGTTATGCGCGCGCGTGTATTATATTTTGCGGGCCGAGCTATCTCTCTCTCTCTCTCTCTCTCTGTCTCTCTTCGTCGGGGCGCCCCCGCTGCCGCCGCCAGCTGGCTCGAGGAGGAGGGTTATAAGAGAGCAGCAGCAGCGGAACACGGAAAAAGAGAGAACAGTTGAGGAGAGCGTGGAGGGGGCGCGAGAGCCAATGGCGGTGACTGATAAGGGTCGCAGGATTGGTCGACCCCTTCGGTATACACGACGAAGTGTGCTGCTGCGTGGGTGTATGTGCGCGCGGCTATGGCGTCGGTGGCGCTGGATATATATACACACGATGTATATATAGGTATAGGTGTGCATGAATTGCGATGTAGCTGCTGCTGCTGGGAGCAACAGGTTGTTGGCTGTTGAAACGAGTGTGTATACAAACTGCGGATCGACGCGTCTATATTATGCTCGCACGACTTTTGACGTTTGATTGTTTTGCTAATTTACGGTGGAGATCGATCGCGCGTGTAGTGTGTTTACTATAAAGATCTATGGACTTTCTACTGACCGAGAGATGTGTACTTGAGTTATGGAGAAATTTTATTATTGGGTAGATTAATTTTTATGTGTTTATCGATAAATATTAACTTCGACTTATGGAGTAGGTTTTAGTTCCATTATCGATTTAGTCCAGTTTATAAATGATTAAGAAAACCCACACTTATAAAAAAAATCAACATTATTATAATTACACATACGAAGTCATTAGTATTCAATTATTTATTTAAAGGAACCCCTTTATTCGAAATTTAATTCCTCACAAACGCTCTCATCAATTAAAACATACATTTAAACTACAGAGGTTTGACTGTATTTACTAATAGTTTTTAATACATTACATTTTCCATATAATTCAAGTAAGGCGACTGTGCCTATTTTCGCTCAATAATTAATATTAAAGATATAATTGTATACAAAGAAAATTGAAAAAAAGTTGGCTTTATCGATCGAATACGGGTAAACTATATTATGTAAATACTTTAATCAAGTTTTTACCTTATCTAGAAACTTAATTCAAAGTTGAGTAAAAATGGAGCTTAGCCAAGGATCGAAGGCGAGACCTGATATCTCTCGTTTACCCTAACGGTTTTTCGCATAAAAAATGGCCATTTAATGGTCATTTGCCATGAATTGCCATTAAATGGCCATTTTTTTATGAGAAAAAGCGTCACATCAATGGTTTTTTACTATACAGTAAAAAAACATATGTAATTTTTAATAATCTGATTTTACCGTGCATCAATTCGACACCGATTGAATTATTCATTCGACATTGGCACCACGGCACAAGGACAATGGAGATCGCTTTTGCTATTCTCTTATACATTACAACTTGATAAGGAGTCGCGTGTGCAGCAGTAGCAAAAAAAATTCAGTACTAGGCGCGATTCCAGAAGGAACTCGGCAGCGCGCGCACACACACATACACATACACGAGGTAACTCGATATTGGCCAAGGGCGATAAGAAAATGCTGTAGGCAAGAGAGAGAGAGAGAGACAAGATTTTGTGCACCGAGTTGGAGTACGCGCGCGTACCCGAACCGAGCATTATATACATAGATATATGTAGTAAAAAGCTCTGGGAGGAAGGACGAAACGAGCCAAGCCATTGTGCCCCTTTCAAAATGGTTACGCGGAGTAAAAAAAGATAGAGATAGGGAGAGAAGAGAAAGAGAGAGAGAGAGAGATGGAAAAAAGGAGCATCTTCGTTTGTGCCGTGGAAGAATAAATATCGAGCACGTTTTTATTATCGCTATTATGTATGGAGACCGAGAGCAGCAGATTTTATAATTAAACGCGAGATATGTAAGAGTTTATGAATGTTTTGAGTAGACGTATATAGCTTTTTCTTTTTTTTTTTTAAGTAACGATACATTTCTCGTCAGTTTTTTGATGTGGCGTAATGTATAGAGAAAATATATAAGAATGTCCCAAGTGGTAGATTAGAAAAATTGTGCCACTCACGCGATTCGGAAAGGCATTGACAAAGATTTTGAATTGTTAAAAGTACTAAGAAAAAAAACAGTTACGAGAGCTTTTATTAATTTTGAAGAAATTTAGAAAACATTTTTCGTTTCGAATAAACGGTTTCCAACTTGCTTTTGCAGTAATGATGTATGATAACTTGTCTCTTAGCAGAAATAAAAAGTCTGTTGGAAAATTTAACAAAATCTTTCATCATAGTGCAAGTTCGATCGATTCGGGATCTCGATATTATTACGTGAGATTAATCAAAAATCCAGTTCCAAACAATATGTGAAGAAACTCTCGGCTGATCGTTGTTTGAACAACTGCAGGTAACCAAGGAGCCGAAAATAAAACACAGTTCATATCAAGTAAGACACAATCATAATTATTGAACATTTTTATTGAAATTTCAGAAAAAATATATGTATTTACACATATTTACTGTTGTCAATCATCATTTCTTTTCGAAATCATGGCATGCTTAATCTTTACCATCTTCGTGAATTCTTTTTTGGTGTACAAGTAAATTCGACTTTTGTCCAAATTTCTGCTCGCACTTGTCACATCCGTAATCTTTACGATTTTCATGGACCGTTTTTTGGTGTACAAGTAAATTCACTTTTTGTCCAAATTTCTGCTCGCACTTGTCACATCCGTAATCTTTACGATTTTCATGGACCGTTTTTTGGTGTACAAGTAAATTCGATTTATATCCAAATTTGTACTCGCATTTATCGCATGCGTAATCCATGTGACCTTCGTGTACTGTCTTTCGGTGTTTTCTTAAATAGCTTCGAGTTCCAAACTTCTTATCGCAATTGTCGCATGCGTAATCTTTGCAACCTTCGTGTACGATCCTTCGGTGCTGAATCATAATCCATTTTAGTGCAAATTTTTTCTCGCACTTGTCGCATTCGTGATCTTTTCGACCTTCATGGATTGATTTTTGGTGGTACACCAAATGATGTGCAAGTCCAAACTTCTGATCGCACTTGTCGCATGCGAAATCTTTGCGACCCTCATGAACTGTCCTTTGGTGCTTCAACATATCTGCTTTTAATCCAAATTTCTGCTCACAATTGTCGCATGCATAATCTTTGCGACCTTCATGAACTGTCCTTCGATGGGAAAGCAAATGTGACATTTGTCCAAACTTCTTCTCGCATTTGTTGCATGCGTAATTTCTGCGACCCTCATGGACTGTGCTTAGGTGTGAGAGCAAATTTCTTTTTTCTATAAATGTCTTCTCGCATTTGTTACATGCGAAATCTTTGCGACATTCGTGGACTGACCTTTGGTGTCTGATCAATGACGATTTTACTCCAAATTTCAGCTCGCATTTGTTGCATTCGAAATCTTTGCGACCTTCATGGATGGTTTTTTGGTGTCTGAGCAAATGCTGTTTTTGTCCAAATTTTTTTTGGCACTTGTCGCATGCGTAATCTTTCTGGCCTTCGTGTACTACCTTTTGGTGGGCGATAAAATTACATTTTTGGGTAAATTTCTTTTGGCACTTGTCACACGCGTAATCTTTGCGACCCTCATGAACTGTCCTTTGGTGCTTCAACACATCTGCTTTTAGTCCAAATTTCTGCTTACAATCGTCGCATGTGAAATCTTTCCGACCTTCATGGACTGTTTTTTGGTGCGAAAGTAAATTCGATTTGTGTCCAAATACCTTTTCGCACTTGTCGCATGGGCAATCTTTGCAACCTTCGTGTATTGTTTTTTGGTGTATGATCAAATGCGATTTGCGCCCAAATTTCTTCTCGCACTTGTCGCATGCAAAATCTTTGCGACCTTCATGAACTGACCTTCGATGGGAAAGCAAATGTGACATTTGTCCAAACTTCTTCTCGCATTTGTCGCATGCGTAATTTCTGCGACCCTCATGGACTGTGCTTAGGTGTGAGAGCAAATTTCTTTTTTCTGTAAATGTCTTCTCGCATTTGTTACATGCGAAATCTTTGCGACATTCGTGGACTGACCTTTGGTGTCTGATCAATGACGATTTTACTCCAAATTTCAGCTCGCATTTGTTGCATTCGAAATCTTTGCGACCTTCATGGATGGTTTTTTGGTGGCTGAGCAAATGCTGTTTTTGTCTAAATTTTTTTTGGCATTTATCGCATGGGTAATTTTTTGGACTTTTTTTCACGGGCTCACAAATGAAATCTTTACGACTGCCGTGTACCATCTTTATGTGCAAGAGCAAACTCTGTTTGTTTCCAAATCTCTTCGCACACTTATCACACAAATGATCTTTGAAAACTTCGTGGAATATTTTTTTGTGCTTGAGTAACGTTGATTTGTTTTCAAATTTTCTCTCGCACTTGTTGCACGTGAAATCTTTACGATTTTTGTGTACTAATTTCTGGTGCGTAGTCAAACTTGATTTTTCCACAAATTTTTTCTCGCACATGTCGCATGCAAAATCTTTACGGCTTTTGTGTTCTAATACTTGGTGTCTATTTAGATGACTTCGGTACTCAAATTTCTTTTCGCACTTGTCGCATTTATAATCTTTTTGTTCATTGTGAGTTATATCTCGGTGTGTCATCATACTTGATTCTAGCGTAAATGCCTCCTGGCAAATATTACAAAAGTATTTTTTTTCGTTTGATACAACAGTGTCATGTTCACTTGAATTATTTTCCGAGATAACTTCCT